ATTTTATTGCATTAGTTTTGCAGTTTTCTTAAAAATTGACTTGTTTTTACCAAGATGATAAGTGGGACGTGCTGAATGAAAACAATCGGTAATGCATGCAAGCAAAGTTGACATAAATTGGTCAAAACACCGAAACGACTTTTTTTTCAAACATAGAAGTACCTATATGAAAATGGTTATGTTTCGAAAATATTCATATGTAACTTATACTGTTATGTTTTGCTTTGAAATGTTCCAAAGATGTTATATAGAGGTTGCATTGAGTGTACTGATTCCTAAAATCATTCTACATGTAATAAATTGTCCAGCATAAGAATTATATCTAGAAACTTTTAATTGTAATTATGTTTAACGTTTAAGCATATTTTATTGCATTAAATACATGTTTACAAACATATCATACAAATAATGAGTATATATTAAAATGCAAATGGGTTGGGCAACAAGTTCTTACAACATTAGATTAAGTCGCAATCCGTCAAATTGTTGGTGTAAATGAAAATAGAGATATCTATATAAGCCACGCCATGACAAAACCAACATAGAGCATTTGCGACCAGCATGGATCCAGACCAGCCTGCGTATCCGCACAGTCTGATCAGGATCCATGCTGTTCGCTATCAGTTTCTCTACTTATAATAGGGTTTGCAAGCGAACAGCATGGATCCTGATCAGACTGCACGGATGCGCAGGCTGGTCTGGATCCATGCTGGTCGCAAACGCACTATGTTGGTTTTGTCATGGTGTGGCTCAATTATGTTAAATAAGAAAATTTCGATACTGAATATAACATCAACAAACAAACAAAACTCCACTTGACAACGCTTTAAATTTTAAATTTTTTAAGATTAATTTAACTCAGCTTAAGGCGTGACGCTTTAAAAAAAAGTGCCCTATAAAAAATCTGTAAGGATATTATTTTTACACGATAACATAAATGTGTCCATGATGACGATTGTGACTGGTTATAGCTTAAAACTTTAAATAGAGAAAAGAAAACTTTCATCTTTCTTGCATGCACAGGACTTAATTAAAAAACGAAACCGTACGTAGGCGAAATTTTGATGCATCCATATTGTAATTATTCTAAAAATATTTCTAAGATAAATAGAAACGGATACAGATTGCACTTCTAGCTAGTGAAAATTACTTGATATCTTAAAATAGAATACAATCTCTAACAGTAAAATAGAGGCAATTGTTGCTATTTTGAAACAAAACAAAACTCCTCTGGGCGACAATGCAATTAAGCGGAAATGTCAACAAAATAAACTGATTCAAGTTTAGCAGCTTTCATAATTATTTCTTTTTTCTTCTTACACATTTTTTTAATTCTCTTATTGTTTTGGATTCATTTGTTGCTTGGATTTTTTTTAAACCTAAACAGTACACGATTATAATTATTTTTATTTATTTATTAATTTTTTTTTTTTTTTTTGGGGGGGGGGGGGGGGGGGGGTCGTCGCACTAACACTGTAAAGGTCATATGGCGACTGTCCAGCTTTACTGATGGAGGAAGAACTCAAGTGCTCCTCTTTGTAGTATTTCAGGCACGGGCACCTGAGTAGAACCACCGACTTTCATTAATCCTGCTGGATCCTCACATGAAAGAATCCCTGCCGGGATTCAAACCCGCGCCGGTGAGGGACAAGTGGTTCGAAGTCAACGACCTTAACCACTCGACCGCGGACGCCCAAAAGTAGATTTGATCACCACAGTAAAAGGGTTATTATAATAATTATGCGCTTATGCTTGAACTGAAAATCAATGTAATGGTAAGTATTGGATTGGAAATATTGTAGGATTTGGTCATGAATGGGTAGATGGACACAACATCTTTTTTTATACAATTTTTAGTTTGAAGAAAAAATAATGAAGTTCTATATTTTTACCATATATTTTTATCAAACTATCATCATAATACATTCGTAAAGGATTTTCCAAACAAGTCATTTTTCATTACAACAATATCAATAACTAACACCTATCCACCTAATAATTGTGCTAATGCATGAAAAATGAATTTGCAAGTGGTCGACATCTGTGTAAAACAGGGCGCATTATCTAAACAGGTGGGTGGGAAGTAGAACATTGACTGGTGTGTGGATTTGAGAGAAGGTAAGATACAGGTAAAATGACTCATCATCTAGAAAACACGTGAACAATAACCAAGCTGTTTATTGCGTCTAATGTCAGATTCTGAGAAATGTGGGTCAAGGACAAGAAAAGAAAAAGTTGATTCTCGCCAATATTGAAGATGTTGCAGACTGCTTTACGGCTTATGTAAGTAAATCTGGCGAACCCTACTGTTATATTTTTACATTTCATTTTATAAAAAAAACATCTGTAGGAATATGTTAAGTTTTTTTTTAAATTAAATTTTGATACAATACCTTCATATTATTAAGAAAAAATGATTGTAAGACCTTACAGATTTTCTTCTGAATAATCAGTCCTATCCTATTATTTTAAAAAAAGATATTTGATATACACGTAAGTTAATTAAAGTTATGATCGACCAAATTCATTCAAATAAAACTACATTATGAATCTTGCATCTAGTATTTATTTTACAATAAAGACAACGCTGTTCTCAGGTTCTTATTGTTTTGGAAAAAATCCAACTGACTAACAGTGTGATCTGAAGAAAACAAAGTGATCACAATTTTTCATTTACGAGTACATATGCATCGATTTCACTTCAGAATGTCAATTGTATCAAAAATGCCATTAGATATTGAAAATTGATGATTTAGATCAGGGTCTTTCAAATAGAAAATTGAAAACCCCTGTTTAGATATTGTAAAGTTATGCATCATGATAATGTTTAAATACGCTCGTTATAAAAATCCCTAAAGAAAGTCCAAAACGGCAAAATTGAAAATGTTGCAGGCTCGGTTTGATTGAGTCTGTTCATGGACGGTACTGTCAAGTGCAAACTACCGTCCACGCCCCCTAGCACCGCCTTAAGCAATATTCAACATTTGCGAAGGCAAGGGAAGTAACCGAGACAGAAAGTAAAATACAGCATGCGTAGTTGTGTTCTCACATTTTAAATCTAATTGTGGCAATTAATTTAGACGTTCTTACAAACAATTTTGTTACTAGATAAATTCTCAAACAAATTGATGAATTATTACAATTATAAACTGATCTATTACTGATATCTTCTATATCAAAAGCCAATGCTGGGTTTTAATTAAAATTGACAAAACATTAAGCTTAAAATAACAGAACTAAAAGAAGCGTAACTCGACATACTAATTGAGCTTGATAGGTTAAAAAATTTCATTGAATCACTCTTGCGTCTGCTTCCTGAATGTAACCAGTACTGGTGTTGTCTGGTGAAACATGGTTTACACCTTACTGTGACCGAATATATATACATTGTATAAAGTTTCAAATGGACTATTCAGTACTTGTTGAGAATGAACTTTCATGCAAAACCCGAATTTTCAATATTCACACAAAAGTATAATTCAAACATTCATGGGTAAGAAGTTTTTATCCCGAAGACATGTGCAAGCGTTCGTGGTTAATGATGAAGTACGCACAAACCTTAACCAACGGTCACGTTGGTTTAATGCTGAAGGACAGTCCCCAGATCTGTTCGAAAAGTGAGCTACAAGACATCAGTTTTATCTTCAGCTTCAGACTTCTTGATATAAAACAATGAAAACACCTGTGTGGACACGCAAGGTGTTTTCTTAGATTATGTGTATAACGTTTCAAAAGTATGCATGCAATTTCAAGGGAACAAAACCAACAGTATGAGAGTATGACAGTGTCACCAAGAAATCACTTCTTGAACTAGTGTTCCTAGGGTTTTGATTGATTGTGTAATGGATTGGGCTTTGCTGATGTAAGAGAACTTAGTACATTAGCATCCACTAAAATAGTACCCTCACAACTTAAACCAGGGCCATAGATAATTTAATTTGCACCAGATATCCATGCATGTGTTGAAGTAGAGTTCAATCTAAAAAAAAGTCGTAACCCATTTTGAAGTACCAGTTCATTTTGTATCATTATTACATAAGACTAAATGCAACATTGGCATATCTAAAGCCCTATAAGCAACTTATCAACCCCATTTGAAAATTGTAACATCATTACTTTTATTATCCAATGAATTTGTTCCGGTCTTGGTTTAAACAAGTTGCATGCCTCCAGATGAGCCAAACTATTTCAATAAAATCTACCTTGAGAAAAATGTACTAAGATTTTAAGAAAAGTAAAAATAATTACAATTCAAGAAATGATTCACGTGCTACATGTATATGCCATTCAGGACTGATTATGCAGTTTTTATAACCATATTTATACTGTATTAAAACCGCAATAAGGACTAAATTTGCATATTTTGACCAATGTTTGACAATTGAATTTTCATTGATTTTAAGTGCCGTTTGTAATGTGTAAATAACATTCTTTGTTCACTTCATACATTTCAAAAATAATCGTGAAAATTAGCATGAATGTGGAGACATGCTGTTTTAACACTAGTGTAGTTTCTGATTTTCACATTTTTCATCTGAACACTCCATAGCTTTGTACACATTTAGGGTCTTTTTTAAGCAGATGTATGTTGTTCTCTGTTTTAAAGCAAGAGACAAAACTAACTAGAAATAAACATTTTTTTATTATCACAATGAAATTATATTCATAATTTGTATCAAATAGACACATTTCACACATTTTCATTCAATCACAAAAAAAAAAAAACTTGAAAAGCCTTCAATATTGATGTATGACTTTTCTGCTTTAAACTTTATGAACAGGCAATAAACAGTAAGGGGAAAAACATGCTTACACAAATTTCTTTCTAAATAACTGTATTAGGGACTTGCCATTTCCAATGAATATTTTGGGGTTTTTTTTTTGTGTTGTTTTTTGGTTTGGCTTTATGTTGCACCAACACAGTATAGGTCATATGGCAACTTTCCAGCTTTACTGGTGAAGACCTCTGGTGCCCTTCTCTGTATTATTTCAGGCACAAACAGGCACATGAGTAGAAAAACCGACATTCTGTCAGCTAGCTGGATAGCTTCCTCACATGAAAGAAATGAATATTTGTAAAAAGAGACTCTTTTAACCTGGAAAATGGCATTTTCATATTAATGTCAATTTTGATTTATCTTTTATAACTCACAAAATTGTTTAAAGGTATGATGTTCACTTTGTGCAGAGCACACAATACACTTGCAACTCTTTTAATAAATATAATACACTAATCTTTCACTTCTTTTAAATTCAAATTTTTGGTCCATCATAGCACATGCACATGTATGGAAAACATCTGTTCATAATACATGTATTGAAAACATCTGTTTAAAGTATGTGTATTGAAAACATCTGTTCATAGTACATGTATTGAAAACATCTGTTTAAAGTAATAGTATGTGTATTGAAAACATCTGTTCATAGTACATGTATTGAAAACATCTGTTTAAAGTATGTGTATTGAAAACATCTGTTCATAGTACATGTATTGAAAACATCTGTTTAAAGTAATAGTATGTGTATTAAAAACATCTGTTCATAGTACATGTATTGAAAACATCTGTTTAAAGTATGTGTATTGAAAACATCTGTTCATGGTACATGTATTGAAAACATCTGTTCATAGTTCATGTATTAAAAACATCTGTCCATTGTACATGTAAAAACATTTGTTCATAGTACATGTACTTAAAACATCTGTTCAAAATACATGTATTGAAAACATCTGTTTATAGTACATGTATTGGAAACATCTGTTCATAGTACATATATTGAAACATCTGTTTATAGTACATGTATTGAAAACATCTGTTTATAGTAAAGAAAACATATGTTTGTAGTACAGAAAACATCTGTTCATAGTACAGAAAACATCTGGTCATAGTACAGAAAATATCTGTTCAAAGTACATGTATTGAAAACATCTGTTCATAGTACATGTATTGAAAACATCTGTTCATAGTACATGTATTAAGTTCATAGTACATGTATTGAAAACATTTGTTCATAACACATATATTGAAAACATCTGTTAACAATACATGTATTGAAAACATTTTTATAGTACATGTATTGAAAACATCTGTTCATAGTACATGTATTGAAAACATCTGTTCAAAGCACATGTATTGAATACATTTGAACAAAAGTTTAGAAAACAAAAATTTAAACTAGAATCCTGACAAGAGGAAGAAGTGACAAGTATGATAAACAAAAAAATATTTAAGTTTTTGAAGTCCTGAGTAAACTATGTTATGTATTTCTTTTCGGATACTTAAACAGTTCTGTGAGTTTGCCCATTCACAAAACATCAACAAATCATCTCCAATAATGAACTTAACATAAAGAACACTATTTACATGTTTTGGCAGTAACTTCAATTCATTGATTGTATTATAAAATCTCCTAGATTTGGCTGTTGTCATACAACCGGACGATGTGGGGGCGTATAGGCATTTCTACATCGCTCATAAAATATCTGAAAATAAAACAAAATTAATTATTAGAATTAAAGTATAAATTAAACCAAACATTATCATGAAAAGAAAAACTTGTTAGTTGTTCACCTTTACTCAGTGCTGGAAATCAAAACTGTACATTATCAAATCAAGAAATAAAATCAAATGGAATTCTAACAGACCTTGACCTTTGACTTTTTGGTGCAAAAATGGATTAATTTTTCTTATAAAAGTGAAGCTAAAAACATGCTAATTTGACTTTTTGAATGAACATAATGTATATTACATGGTTTTTATAAGTGATTTAAATGGGTAAACACCATTTTAATCAATCTTGTCATACATGAATTTGACTATAAATGATACATACATGTAGAACCTTCTTCGGTTACATATACATGTATACATGTAGCGACTTCATAATTGTCTTTAAGATGCAGAAATGCAATGCTTGATTTAAATATATAGAAAGGGATGATTGAACATGTTTTTTCTCAGTATTTTGTGAAAATATTCTTATACACAAAACAGGTCAAGTTATAAAATTTAACAAAGACTTTAGAAAATATCTTTTTAATTGTAATACTGGCTTAAATAATTAATTAAAGGTGTTTTACTAAATTTATATATAGGTAACTTAACAAAATTAATAAAATATTCTTATTTATTTGCCATAGAAAAATAAGCACATTAAACTTATCTCATCAACAACTCTAATCCTTTATTCCGGTTTTGATCGGGAATATCAATTTCTGAGGGCAAATTGCCCAGTTTTCAATTTTAAAAACCGCGTGGAAATGAATGACATCAATATTAATCTGGGGCTTCTAAGTTATATGCCTATATCACAACATTGTATTATTCTCCCTTTCATAGTAAGTTACTTAATGCAAATAGACAACATTAAATTATTTCGATGTGCGATTTAAAAGTAAATAAGTAATAAACACACTTGATAGTGTAATAAATCCCTTTTAGATCAAATAAAAAAAATTTTAAAGGTTAAGGGGAAATATCTGGAAATTTTCTTGCCAGGAATATTTAACCTTTCAAAAATGTTTGTAGTAAATAACAAGGGAAAAATATATATGAATTTTAGAGATACATTAGGAAATAAAGAAGTTATTTAAAAAAGACAGTTAACATTGTTTTCATAAAAATTCTAAGTTCACGGGGAGGTAATACTGATAATTTTTGTGCTAGAGTTGTAAACCTTGTCACATATGATGTGGTTGATGACCAGAACTTATATTTAAAGTTTGAAGTAAACACCTTAAGAAATAAAGAACTTATAGTGAAAAAGCTGAAAAAATTTAAATCAGAAATCTTGAAATTCAGGCTATTTGTTGCCATAGCGACCAGAATTTTCAACATAGGAAGAAAAAAACAAAGACGTGCATAATCTCCATACTGCCATCTATCCATATATCAAGTTTCATAAAAATATTTTCAGTACTTTTTGCGTTATCGCGGGATCCAGTTTATGTGTTCAATTTGCCATATTTTCAGGCTATTTGTTGCCCACATAGCAACCAGAATTTTCCACATAGAAGAAAAAAAAAAGACGTGCATAATCTCCATACTGCCATCTATCCATATATCAAATTTCATAAAAATATTTTCAGTAATTTTTGCGTTATCGCGGGATCCAGTTTATGTGTTCAATTTGCCATATTTTCAGGCTATTTGTTGCCATAGCAACCAGAATTTTCACATAGAAGAAAAAAAAAAAGACGTGCATAATCTCCATACTGCCATCTATCCATATATCAAGTTTCATTAAAATATTTTCAGTACATTTTGCGTTATCGCGGGATCCAGTTTTGTGGACGGACGGACTGACGGACTGACAGACAGACAGACAGACGGACAGACAGACAGACGGACGGAGGGTAAACCTAAAGTCCCCTCCGGTTAAACCGGTAGGGGACTAATAAGCACATAACTTATCTATCAACAACTCTACATCCTGGGTTTTGAATTTCTGTTTTTGATTCGGGGAAAATATCAATATTTGGGGCTTGAAATTAGCCTTATCAAACAGGGTTTTTCAAATATTTGAAAGACCCTGTGTCAAATGTATAGACATAAAATATGTGATTAATGTATTGTAAAGTACCTTATATGATCTATCTTTCACAACTTTATCTATGTCTAACTCTCTCTGCATAAGTCGTAACTGAAAGTGAACAAATATAAAAACAAATTAAACCTTGCATAGAGTCTAGATCTGGTAAATGACTGTCACCATAGTTAATACAACACACTTGCTATAGTGTTAATAAATCATTTTAATCAAAATAACAAAAAAAGTTTTCCAAAGGTTAAGGAAACTGTGCAACAATACTAGAGCTAAATATTTCAATTAAGCCACTAGTCTGAAATCACTGTTACTGATTCAAAGCTTTAAAAAGTTTGTAGCTAACATCATACAATGTGAAACTAAAACTAATGATTTTAAAGAGAATGGTGATGTGATTCCTGAATCAGATCTGGAATAAAAATGAGCCATTTAAGCAATTGGTTAACCATACTTGTATCATAGTTTGGGGACCTATTTGTTGAAAATGTGTCAGAGTTAAATTGTATACATAAACATGAACAGTGCGTTAACTGGAGTGCAGGTATTAGTTACCCGCACTCAAGAGTATGCCCATTGATTGGCCCATTTTTCTGGGGTTTACTTATTGTGACAACAAAGAAAAGACTAGAGATCTATCACATTCAAATACTTGTTCATTGGTCACATTTAGCCTCGTGCAAATCAGATAGCCTCATATTTGGATGTTCTTTCCATTACTTATACTCTTCTAAGACTTTTCTAAAAATCTTTTTTGAAAACTATTAATATCTTATATGATAAGAAAAATTTGGTTAAGGATTTTGCAAACAATTAAGAATAAAGAATAAGACATGAATAAGAAAACTCAGGTTTACTTTATGTTTAAGAGTTTGCAAATGAATAAAAAAAATATGAAAGAAAAATCGAGCATGAAAACTTGGTTAACCTTATGTTGTGATTTTCGGAGCATATTTTCAGCCTCTACATCATCTCGGTTTTCTAGTCTGCATTTTCTCCAATGTTCTACTTCCTCTCTTGCCTTTATTACACAATGTTGAATAGCTTTTTCACGACCATCATATGTTCTCATCATCTATAAAATAAAATTAATATATGTGTATCAATTTGCATATGTTCATTTTATCATATAATTAGCTCAAAAATTTGTAAAATGTTTTAATATCCTGATGAAGGTTCATTCGAACCAAAACCGTTAGGTTATTGAATTACTGAACCTGCACTGGTGTTGACGTGTTGTATTTCTACCTTTTCTACCTTACAATGTATTTTGATATAATTTATATATACTATATAAATTTTTAGTCATTACCAGTAGCTTCTTAGGGCAAATTCTACAGGCAGAATTATAGCCATCTTTAAATATAATATTGTTTCTATGGAAACATCTATACCAAACAGTCATTTAAGGTCTTCTCTAATACTTAATTGAAAGAAAGTGAGATGGAACTGAAATATCATGGATGAAAGCTTTACAAATGCATTGTTACATTACAGTAATTTTTAGAGCAAAGCATACATTTGTATCATCGCTGGTTCTTTTTGTTTTCTAACTTGACAAATATATCCAATACTTAACATTTTATTTATTTAAACAACTCTCCCATTTGGTGTAAAAAAGAAAACAATATTAGATTTGTTCCTTTATTTTCTTTTTCAAAGAAATTTATGCTTTCATTTTATCAAAATGTAGTAAATATTAGAGGTGTAACGATTCATCGATGCATTGATACATCGCGATCTGCCCTGTCCTCGATGTATGCATCGTAATGAATTTATAAATTCCAATATATCAGGATGCAATACACATTTCACCACCCGATGCATCGATATAGCGGGAAAGTATCGCAATACACAAATAGTTATGGTATAATGAAAAATATCTTTATCCTTAAGTAAAAAGTAAAAATCCTTAAGTAATAAGTAATGTAAATTGTTGAAAGATCAAAACTTGAAAATAAGTTGTAATAACAAGTTGAAGAGTTTATTGTTTTGTTATTGTAATAGTTTTATATTACATTCGTAATCATGCTGTGAACAAATGACCAAGTTTTTTATATAGATAAAGTCTGAAAGTCAGTATTGTGATACGTATTGCATCGAAACATAAGAATCGCAATATGCATCGCATAATATCAAATTATGCAATACATATTGTGAATTGCATCGTTTGGAAATGCAAGTATCGTGATATGTATTGTGACAGAAAAAAATGGCAATGCACAGCCCTAGTAAATATATTTGAGAAAATATAGTCTATCTTGTGGGGAAAAGATCTTACCCTTTCATACAAAGATTTACATTGTTCAGTGGTGTTAACTTTTCCAGAAAATGATGGGGTTGGTATAATTTCATTCAGCTGATATATAATTTTATCATCATCAACTCTCAAACGTTTCAGAGCTTCCTGAAAATAAACAGCGTTAGAAAAAATTATCACTAGATACTTAAGAATATATAGAATTCTATACATATCAATGAAATTTTCAGTGTCAGTTCTAGTCTAGCACCGCCATTTTCAATGTAACTCAATGATTATAGACGGGATATTCCGATAATGAACAATCGCAACTCTTCGGATTAATAATAATCGTCAAGTATACTGAGTGAAAACGGAAGCAGTACATAAAAATTAAAGATTTTTTTTAACTGACTTCCCCGTTCATAGGCTTTGCCTAATTTCATATAATGTCTAGCCCAACAATGTCAATTGGGGGGGTTGGGTTTGTCCCCCAGCAGAGAGGCATGCATGGTATTACCACTTACTGCCATTTAAATGATGACATACTGTTTTCAAAATTGCCGACCTATGGTCTACATCTTGCCCATTAAATTAGATTTTGATTGATTTAATATGTTGTTGTTTCCTTGTGTCATACAATAGAAAATACCTAAATGTTACAGCTTATGAATATTTTCTGGTCTGTAAGTTTATTTTTTATTCTCCTACTTGTTTCAAAGCTTTAAGTGCTGTGAACTAAGAGGAGCATAGTATACTCAAACCACACTATACCAGTGGCTCCACGGTACCGGTGTATTCATATATCTCGCCATATTGTCGTGATAGCATAACCTGCCAACTGTTTACATTGACATGCTCTAGTAATATTCACTATCTCAAAGTTTTACAATATTTTTGTTAAGTTTCTAATGAAAATAATTCACTTATCCTTCCTTATTCAGTCTGCGAAATTTGCAGCTGTCCTATTGTCCATTTTTTGATCCGGACAACCAATTTTTAAAAGTTTACTTGTCCGATGGACGATGGACAAGTTAACATTTGCAGAAAGTATTCATCAAAATGTCAACGAATAGTGATAAAAATGCAAAATATCAAATACAATTAGTTTGCTTACATTTATGATAGTTTCACACTAAAGATAAGTTTGCAGATTTGATCAATAATTGCTTGGAGATGTTCTGATGAAAATATTCGGGCAACCAGTTTTTACTTCGGACAACCAGCTTTTCTTGAGTTGGCTGCCCAAATGACAACCATTTTTAAACTTTAATTTCAAAGACTGCTTATTTTTCATTTAATATTATCCTTTTCCACCATTGCATACATCGGTCTTTCTAAACAAACAAAAATGACAGGTCCTGACCTGTCATCATAAATCCCATTTTAAGTCACATGACTGTATGACATCACATCATATTTTGGCAGAAAAAAAAATCTATGACATAAATATATGACATGTTTATGATGACATTGATATCAAAAGATAAGTGAAATAGCAAGTATATAATTTTGAAATGAAATTAAGCACAGCCAGGCTTTGTCTCGAGCCACGGTCAGCCCCGTCCCAAAAATATGGACCATCCCGTCTAAACATATGGTCCGCCTTGGTACGGTCTGCCCTGTCTCACGGTCCGACCTGTCCATAAATTCGCATAATTCATACAAATTTATCGCACTCTGGAAAACAACTCAATGTGAAATTCCTTTCCATAGAGAGATTATTGGTAGATCCAGAGACATAGATAACAGAGATAGGCTACTTCCTAGCCAGTTAAAATATCACGCGTGCCTACTAAACCAAAAACTTGTAGCAAGTAAAACTTTTTAACCAGATATCAAAATCGGTAAAATAATACATTTTTCTGAAAGCTTATGCATTTGTCCACAGGAACTTGAAATTCTATCAAATAACCAATATTAATTATAATATCCAAATATACCCCCTATATACTATAAAAAAACACAAGGAATGAAACGCCTTTTCCCCACCCCAACATAATTTACCTCGAACAAAGCAACAAAACAACGGATCAAAATAATCTATCGGGCCATTTCCATAAACAATACATAAATACATCAAACACTACTGATAACTTTTTAAATCGCGTACCTAATAATGAATAATTCAACATTTTCTGATTATTTCTCACTATCCGAGTTTGTCGCCGACTCCATTTCGTGACGTCACTGGATGCTGATTCGAGGAGAATAATATTTATTTAAAATTATTTTTAACAAGTTCCAAAAAAATAACAGGTATGTATTAAACTTTTTATATAAATTATTCTATGTTAAAAAATTTAAACATCTTTATGTAAAACCCTTTTAACAAATTACTTTTATAAATACATTTGGAAGGGAAACCCTAAACAAGAACGACAACTCTATGAATTAGTTGCGGGAAATTCAAAATACGTTAAAACAAATTTTTGAGTTCTCTATTGATATGGCACAACAAATAAATTTAGCCATATGGTAAGAAAGAAATTAGCCATTTATTCTAGTTTGACAGTATTTTACTTTCAAACATGTTACCAAATTATTATTGCATATTCATAAAAATCAGCACAGGCCGGTGGCCCATTGGTCCTACATGTATAAAAACAGTCACTCCTAATTTAAACCCATTCTTTTAGTCAATATTGATATAATATACCGAAATTGAGTGGTAAAATCTACTGTGAATATGACATGGTTTTGATGTTTATGTGATGCAGGGTCTTTCAAATAGAAAGGCCCTGTTCTATTTGAATGTGCTGCTGGTGTCATGTTGTTTTATAAATGTTGTCAACAAAACTATGATGCATTTTATGAAAGAGTCTTAGAATGTTTGTTTAACTCTACCCAGTGCCTTTGAATGATTGTAACAAAACAAGCTGCAATTCAATCACAAGATAATAAGAAATGACAGGGAACCCAAAATGATTAGATGTCTTACCTTGTACAGCGGTTAATTGCAGCTTAAAATACAGGTTTGGCAAAGTATAGATTGCATTATAGGACAGATATTAAAATTGGGGAATTGGTAAATTTATATGTGTGATTTCCAAGATATATTTGATAGAAATATGTTATTTATAGATGTTGAAATATGATTTTTTTTCAAAACGGCTTATATTAAGTTTTTTTGATATACATGATCAGTACATGTCTTCTATAAAATTACTTACCTGAATAATATTGGAAGTGTAAAGAAAAACCTATTTTTAACCAAGCTGAAGTTGATCCCATATATGGTCTATGCAAGGTACAGTTGGGTAAACTTTAAACAAATGTAGACTGTATATTATAGTTGCCTTAACCCAGTACTGAATTTCACTTATTCAAAAATGAAATTGTTTGTTTGTTTGTTTGTTTGTTTGTCTCATTTTACGCCTTTTTTCAACAGTATTTCAGTCATATAGGCTGGTAGTTTCCTAACCATCGTTCCTGGAGAGTTACACCAGTACTAGACAACCTTCCTCCGCGCTAAACTACCAAAGCATCTCCCGGGGATCGAACCCACGCCAGAGAGGTACCTAGATTAGAAGTCATTGACTCTAACCCCTCGACCACGTAGCTCATAGAAAACAATGAAAACCACTATTAGATAGGAAAAAACTATCCTTTTTGGATCTTAAAGGGCTAAATCTTTGCAGTGCTTGATAGGCCATGTTGAAGCTTTTGTCTAAAGTGCAAGTTTATTTCAACCTGTTATGGCACAGACTAAGAAAAAAAATAAAAAAAGAAGAAAAAGATGGGGATAAAAAAGAAACAAACACTTGAATGCGATTACATGTATCTGTATTATTTATACAATTTATCTAATTTTATTTATTTCACAGCTCAAGATATATCAAATCACAATTTTCCACAAAATGGTATACAACAAAATTAGCATAAGAAATGTGTAAAATGCTATTGTATTATTTACATGCATTACATCTATTACCACATTGCTTTCCTAAATCTTTCCATTTGCAAAACATTAATCAAGTTTCTTATGTTCAAAGATTTAAGACAGTCAGATATTACATACTAATAAATGGATTATAGTACTTTATTTTCAATGAATACATTCTACATCTGACATGTTTACATCTGTATATCAAATGTTGTGCCAAATGATTCTAATTTATATAACATCATTCATGATTTCATGAGATTTTTTAACTGATACATGTATGTCTTCTTAGCTAAAATCCTATACTATTAATAAGATGATAACCCAAATTCTATATCAATGATATATTTACGTTTAAAGTAAACACCTTTACAGTGTTTATTTCTAATTACAATAATACACATGCCACTTTGTCAGTAGGGTAATATATTATTGATACATTATATTGACAAAGTTATTCTCTGTAAACAAAATGAAGTATGAAAAATTGCAAAACATAGTAAGTCATAAATTATACCATAGGAAATAATGGTTCTTAAGCAATACATTTCATTCTCTTTACTATCTATCCAACTATGAAGATTCAAGTTGTATACCTCCAATAATTTTAGAGTTCTGCTCTGGATAAAGGACAAAAACTCCAAAAATAATGTCAAAGACAGTTAAGGCTCTAGGGCACTTAATTCTACATAATGAGGTATATCCAGCTTTAAAGTTTCAAGTTCAAATTTTATCAAACTATGTTTTGAATGGAAAGTCCATGCTAGTGTTATAATGCTTGCTCATAAACTTATGATTATGATACATGTACTGAAATCATGCATGGAGATTCATGTGAATATAATTAGTTATTTTGGAAATATAATTTACATTAAAAAAATTACACATATAAAATTTCAAAAGTACCCAAAGGAATTTAACTCGATAAAAATATGTGCTAAAGGTATGAGTCTAACTCTAATTCAAATATCAAAAAAACAAGAGCTGTTTACACATTCAAATACATTTTAAAAATTTTCATAAAAATTAGCATGAATCTCAAGGCATGCTGCTTTAAGATTACCCACCCTTTTGAAATAGATTTCTCTTTATAGAATAAGCTAGAATTTAAGGTTTCAAGTGTATGTCTTTGATGGTTTTTGAGAAATAAATACCAATGAAAACCTTAACCAATAACACAGGAGACCAGGCTACCACGATTACTTTCTTCCATTAGTCATTCTAACAAATCACTGTTTTGACTTTTTACCCCTACCTTTCCCTTTCTTATTACAGGATGAACAAAACCATTTGCTCCTTGAACTTTTCAGAAAGGCTTCAGTTCCAGTTAAATTTACACAGCCATAATGATACCAGCTATTACATATATCACAGCCAATACTGTATCCACTTTGATCAGAAGGCTCCTCTTCACAAACATTTTCACAAACAGGACAAACAGTAACATTCTGTGAAGTTTCATTTTCATCAATTTTCTTTTTTTTTACTTTGTCGCTCCCCAATAGCCTGACTTTTTGTACGTAATGCTTGTTTTTTCTTTCTAGGAAGAGTCCGTTTAAATTGTTTCAAACTATCAACAATTGAAAGCCTTAAAAAATGTTCTGTGACAGACTGAAACAGATCTGCAATTAAAACCAAAAATATTTCATCTTCAACTGTTTCAGTGTTGACAGAAGAGAACAAATTAATCCAATCTGATAATAAATTGTTGTTACTATCTATACTTGAGCGACATGACCTGTGAATAAAATCAATAGTTAAATGCATTCTTTCATTTGTCAAAAGCAACTGTAATGCACCATTTAACTGTTTAAAAAAGTGAAAAACTTCATCATTTACTATTGTTAAACCATGAGACTTGTTCTGTTTCACTTGTATTTCAGATAATGACACATCATTACTATCAACATTGCTTTCAGAAACTGCAAGCATTTTTAACATTTTGTCCTTTTTGTAGTTCAACTGTCGAGTTAATTTACTTTTGTTATCAGTTTTTCCTATAGTCCTATCAACAGTTTCTCTAACCCTTTTCCTGATTTTTCTAACACATGCTCCTGCTATGTATCTTAACTTAGCCGATCCGACATCTGATGTCTCGGAAACAGTAGAGGAGGATGCTGATGAAGACTGCTCTGATATTAAATGTTTGGTTTTATCCTCTATAATTTTATCCATAATCCAAAAAGCTAACTTAGACGAAAATTTGTTTTGAAGTTTTGAAATTTCTGAAGTCCTGAATAGAGTTTTAATTGATTGCAAATGATCATTTCCTACCAAGAACATATTAAGATTTTTGAAAGATTCCATCCAAACTGTTTTTGTTTCAGAATTACCAGCAAATAATTGAACATGATGATATATAAATTCAAGATGCTTCTTAAATACATCAGAAGAAATGAAATCTTCTGAAATAATAGATACAAATTGGGCTGAATGATTGACATCTAAAAAATCCTTGATATCATATGGACAAGGACTACCTTGCATCACTTCCATACTAAAATCATCATCACTTGAGTCATCACTTGATGAAACAATTGTACCTGAAGACACTGTAGAAATAGTGGTTGGTATGTTTTTAGAACAACAAGACAAATCTTCTTCCACTGCTCTAAATGGCTGTGTATAAAATTCATAAACTGAATCTGGATGCTTTAATGTTGCCGCTTCCAAAGAAAAGTTCTTTATGCACAGTGTATTTTTAGCTGTTGCTCGCCCAATCGCTACACCCATTTGACCAGGTGCAAAAAAGGAAGAACAGTCAACATATAGGTTTTCTATAGTTTGTCCCTGGGCACGATGAACAGTCATAGCAAAACATAACATGAGAGGTATTTGTAATCTGGATGCCAAAGTCTTATTTTGTGTACAATCAAAAACCTCAAATCTTTCTGGATGCACCTGATGTAAGTTACCATTGAAATTAATTACTGGTGGGGAATCTCTTGAAAGTTGATGAACAACACCTCTTTGTCCATTTAATAGCTGATTACTTATATTCTTAACAAGAACAACTGGTGCTCCTTCTTTAAGCAGAAGAGTTTTGGGAACAGACATCTTAAGTAGAAGCTGTTTGGATCCTGAAAATTAAAAGAAAATTTGAAACATTATATAATGAGTTGGTTTATACAGAATTCATTTCAGTTCCATTGTGTAGATAGCTATAAGCTTAAAAACACACTTTCCAATTCTTTCCTGGAACCAACCAGTACTGAGCAATGAGTGTAAATTTTCTTGCTCAGGGAAACGACGACTTATCCCTAATGAGCTTTGAACCCATGCGACTAGTGATCATTAGATTAAAAGTCCCATGCGTTAACCACTGGGCCATGCTGCCACTTATATATAATGAGTTCACAACAGAACAGTCGAGGGTCCATTTACAATTTAATTAATTACAATTTTGCTGTTAGTTGAAAGTAATTAATTATATATAAATATAATCAATGACTTTAACTGTATTATTGTAATTTATCAATCAAAAATAATTATGATAAAGAAAATAATTGACAAATAAATTACTTTTAAATTACATATAACAAAGATGGCTTCAAATAAAAACTCTGTAGAAGAGGCTTTTTGTGCAGTTTATGTTTTTACCTGGGGGTATTTATTTCATATTTGGTGCTCATCTAAAGAACTATATGATTACATTAACAGTAGTAAGTTCTGTCATCATGGCCATTAAACAGTTTTAACGAATACATATAAACTTGCTACTGATCATTTGTCCATATACTTGTATGTGTTTCATCACATTTCATTGAAGAAATATTTTGTTAATGCCAAAAAACTGAAAATAAATTATTGTCCTTGGAATACTTGTGTTTAATTAACTACTTTAATAAGAATCAAGAAAGTGAAATATTTACATAAATACCTTCATCAGTTGCCTTGAAAACATAAGCCTCTTTATCAATCATGTCCAGCATCTCCTCATTGACATAGCGTACATCAAAATTTGTACCATAGAGTCTAACAACATCTGGTCTGTCTAGGTCTTTGTCTAAACTTTTCAGTAGCTGTATTGTTTGTTCTGACGGTGACCCATCACAAAGTTCTTTCACTGCCAAGGCCAAATCCTGGTCAGTCTGTCTTATAACCTAGAATTAATTTGTTAAACATTTTAAAAAGTACACATGGAACAAGAGCTGTCGGTAGGACGGCATGCTCAACTATTCTTTGTGCTTGATAGTAAAAGAGCCTTGATAATGTAAAATTTTCTATGTTCACAAAATGTCCAATTTTGTTTTTCATATCCATGTTACAGTTATAGGCCTTGGAGAGAGTCCTGTTATGCTCTCAAAGAAGCAGTCATCGAATTAAGCACTGGCCAGGTGGCCCATGGCCAGTGAAAAATAGTTCGGGCCAGTGAAAATTTTAAGAAAATTTAGTTAAATATATAGTAGAATAAATTTAAAACTGGAATTCAGGCTAGTAAATTCAAAATCTTAAATTCATTGACTGCAGAAGTGAATAAAATTTCAACTGGTTTCAAAAAACGCTGACGCTCAGGTGACTAAGATAGCTCTACTTATTTTTACTGAATAGTTGTGCTCAAAATTAAAAGCATAAGCATGTGTATGTAAAATGAATTGTACAAAAGAAGTATTTTATCATCATTTCATTTATAGTATGGAAAGGATCCTCCATTCTGTTTGATCTCAAGAAATTATTCAGTAGAAATTGGACCTATACAATATGAATTTCTTTAAAATGTTTGAAAAATCAAGTTTGTTCTAAAATACGAATTTTGAATATCTTTAAATATTTTATCCGAAAAGTCAAGATAACTGATGTACCTTTGTTAAGTTTACATGGTGTGGAAATGTACTTTGAAACATTGAACTTTCAAAACAATGTTTCCCTTCATCATTTAAGAACTTGTCTGGAACAGGTGGTAACTGCTTGAAATCACCACAGCCAATGACCTGAAAAGAACAAATTGCATTGAATTGTATTTCATTAATTTGCATTTCATTGAAAATGATATGTATTCAAGTAATCATGTGAATTAGTATTATTTAGGTACAGTATTTCAATCATAATCAATAAAGTTTTTTAGACTGGCAGAGTTACCAGCACAATATCACTAATCAGTTGCATGTATTAAATTTAATATTAAATTAGTTGCATATTATTTACTATTAGTTAAGGCTTTACTTTATGACCATTAATCATAAGAATAAAGGCAATATTTCTGGTAAAATATAATAGTACCCCGAGTCATATTTATATGCATTATAGCTGAAATTCTTTAATTTCAAAATGAAAATAAAAAACTCAATAAAATAATACCTGCAAACCTCCAAAGCATTGATCTTTCTTTCTGACACTGCGACAAACACATTCAACCAGTTCAAATATTTTTTGTGTCAACATGCTTATCTCGTCAATGATAAGGCAGTCAGCTTCTAATATTCTCTGCTTAGCAGCAGAGAATTTGTCATCATTCTGATAAAGCTCCTCTAATTTTTCTACAGAATATCGGCCATCCAGAATGCCACTCCAATGATGCAGAGTGGATGTGTTCATACCTAGCTCCAATGCAGCCATACCTGTGGTAGCAGTAACAGCAACTGTTCTTTTCAACTGAGATAGTTGCCTTATTATTTGTCTGAAAAGATAAGGGAAAATCTAAACTATTCAAATAAGAGATGATTTTGATTTCTTAATGTCAATAGCATGATAAAATATATATTTCCTGAAATCACCAACTGAATCACCCAATTTGAAATAGAGATGCCATGTCTATGAAAAACTCTATATATTCTATTAATAACACCCAACCCCTAACAAACAACCCCCTCCCTTTTTGACAAAATTTAGAAGGAAATTGACTAACCAAAACCATTGTATTTTTCGTAAATCCCAGGAAAAAAACAGAATAAACACAACTGGTACTTCCAGTATACATAATCCAACCTAAGAGAACATAAAACAGAAAATATGTAAACTTATTATAGGCAATTTCATTGCACCAATCATAATGAATTTTATCATCACACTATGCCAGTGTCCTAGACTGTTGTAATCACATACTGACTGGGATAAACAGATTTTTTCGCTAAATATTTTGAAAGATATTCACCATTTTGTACTTAAACACCTACCTTTAATAATATAACCCCACCCTAAAGGAGCATCTAATAGAGTATATATGATATGAGCCGCGTCACGACAAAACCAACATAGTGGGTTTGCAACCAGCATGGATCCAGACCAGCCTGCGCATCCCCGCAGTCTGATCAGGATCCATGCTGTTCGCTATCAGTTTCTCTACTTGCAATAGAGTTGGTGAGCGAACAGCATGGATCCTGATCGGACTGCGTGGATGCTCAGGCTGGTCTGGATCCATGCTGGTCGCAAACCCACTATGTTGGTGTTGTCATGACGCGGCTCAAATTTGCAATTTCTGTTTTTTTTATCTTGTTACTACATATATCTTTGTATGAAAGCATATTTTTAAGCTATCATGAAAATGTTGGGTTCATATATAACAGGATTCTACCTTCTTAGGAAATTTATAATTATGAAACAATTACAAATAATTATATTTAATTCTTTACAGGTTGGGGGTACATTTTGAAGTACATCAAGGAAGCACAACAGCCATTGGTGAAATTTATGAAACTTGCAAAAGTCTTTCATGCATTCCCAGCAAGGATGTTGTAGGAAAAGTAGTGAGCCGTTTGTTTGGTGTACAACCATCTATTTTAAACCATAATGGAGAAAAGACTATTGTGTATAAGAATATACGACCAAGGAAAGAGTCAGAAAGTAACATTCTTACCATACCATCATACTGTAGTTTAATAGAACATACAAATACAATATTAAAATTTGAACTGCCTATGTACAGAATAATCAATGGCAAGCAGATGAAAACAACTGTAATATTAACCAGCTCTCATACAAAAATTTGTGTTGAAAAGCAACCAATATCCCTTGAATATGTGCTTACTCTTAATCAAAACAGTATTGATGGTATTATCATAGGCTTACAAAATATAAGACTCTGCAGTGGTGTATGTTATGATGGAGGAGTTCCAAAAACATTCCAAACTGAAATCATATCAACTGTAAACGATGAAAACTCTTCAAAAAGGATAGCTCGTTCAAAGTCATGTAAAAATCTTCTCCCATACTTTGGCAAAACTGAAACTTGCAAAACCTGTTTAGATTCCTTTAATAGATTCACTAAAAGACTAACATCAAACACTTCAAATGAAGATCAACAAATTGAAAAAAAAAAAAGTTTAATTAATAAAGAACTACCAATATCAAATACATGTAATGAAGACAATTTAGAATCAAAATCAGAGTCTAGCTACATAATGTTAACTCAAGAGTCTCACACTGACATGGAGATATTGTTGCATAAAATTTTGGAAGATGATTTTTTATAGTATATAGGGGGTATATTTGGAAATTATAATTAATATTGGTTATTTGATAGAATTTCAAGTTCCTGTGCATGAAGCGATTTCTATGAAGTGAGAATCTGTGTCGCGAGCATGAATCAGGTCTCTAGGTCAAATGTCAATGTCACACTTGAAAAATAAATGCTTCTCCGGACAAAAACTTCTACATGCATAGAATGATTTCAATTTAACTTGGCACAGATGTTCACCTTTGTGAGACAGAGTGTCAAGCGCAAAATTCAGGTCCTTGTTGCTAAATTCAAGGTCATGTTCAATAAAAATTAAGATGTGTATAGGGACCATTAAGACATCATTTATAGAGGGATTGTAACACAAATATGGTCATTATCATGATTATCGTCATGGCACTAGTATTTTAGGTCAATTAATGCAAGATCAAGGTCAATAAAGGTCATGGAATATCTGGATTTTGTCTGGAGCATAATTATCTCTTACATGCATGCAAGAAATTTCTGATCCTTTAAAGAAATATTCACCACCATTAAATGTATTGCTCCACACATGATCCAGGTCAAAGGTCAAGGTCACACTTATGCTTATTGCTATGCATATCTATAATGTCCACATGTACATCAAGAACTTTTATGACGGGCGTATTTTGCGACAATATTGCCCGTGTTGCGTTAATGAATCTCATTTCTAGTTATAAATCATAAGAACCAATCTACAAAAATTTTTAATCCCATGCAATACTTTACGAAAGCGAAAAAATAACATGGAGGTGAATAAATTAGTAAAAGGAAATATTGAAAGATATCGTTTATGTTTCATTTAACACTAGGAACAGTGGTTCATTCCATTTTAGTCTTTTAAACTGTGCAAAATGATTTTCTAAACAGCGTTGTATTATTTCATGTTTTCAAAAAATAGAAACAGTAATTGCTTTAGCTATGTAGACATTTTATTTTATTCCAATAGGCTTTAAAGCCCATGCGGACATAAATCATGTACAATAACGAACAGTCTATGACATAAACATATATACATAATATCAACAATCATGGAATAAAAAGTTTGGAGAAGATCAATTTTGATTGATAAAGTGAATACCAGCCGAAAACATCCATTACATGAGCCATTAATGCAAAATTTGTTATAAATTAATTGAATTTAATACAATAAACGCATTGCCATATATTTATACACACATCCTAAAAAATTAAGGTCCCTTCGCATCAATTACAGATTTCATAATTGAAACAAATTTGTATTATTCATTTTGGATTGTTTCGAAACTTCGAAAGTTCAATTTCAAAAGTGCTTTGATTATTCATGTTAAGTTGCAAAGAGACCTTCGAGCTGACTTAATTGCCAACCCTTATCATACACATGTAATATCACCAATCACTATCATATGACCGAGTGAACAGTGTCCCGAAATTTTGCTGCTCCTTTTTCTTCAAAACTCTTCGTCGATTATTCCTTATTCGAGCTTATCCGGAGATTGACGGGAAGAGTCGATATGTTGCTATTTGCAGATGCATTTCTACCAATCAGAAGTTCTTAATTACCCGCCATTTGAACAAATAAACTTGGTCTGCCATTTAAAGTTATTCTCAAGAAAGTTATTCTTAAGTAATTGCTATTACTTAATTAATACAAAGCTACAGAGATGCTCTAAAGAAATTAAGAGACAGGAAAAATCAATACCAAAGAGGTAACCGGTGTCGCTGAGAAACCAAAAGTATGATGTTTTAATGAATTTAAAATACAATTTTTGACTATTTATTTATAGTTTTTCCGAGTACATTTAAAATGTATGGTATGTTAATAATCAAATCATTGGTTCATTTAGGCTCAAAGAACATGACGAAGCGGCGGTGGGTGTGGCGAAAAACCACGATTCAGTGTAGCTCAGTGTGGCGTTGCAGTAATTGATAAATGGACAGATTCGTTAGAAAGACATTGTTTAAATATTGTAATTTACCGTGGCACACTTCCCTTTTATTCAACATAACACGTTTGGTCAGAAGAATGAACATTTACTAGATTGGTGTATATCGCCTACTTCTTTTCAGCAGATACCTATGCATTTGCAAAAAGTGAACCGTTTTTGTAGATTTCGCAAAGAGGGTACCGATATGGATATGCACCATGCTATAGGCACTAATAAAATTTTATTATTAACTTTGACTAAAATGAGTTATGACTTTATCGGCCATGATAAATTAAGATATCAGGTTTGTTTCTTGGGAAAATTACCCTACGAACTTAATACCACTACTAGAAGATCAAGTTCAAAATTTCACCATTACCATAGTTAAATGTTGAATTCTGCTTAAAAGTCGGTCCTAGTCGGGCTTGTACTGTCAAAAACTGTCCCTGGACTGGTTTAATTAAACCGAGGCTTCAACAATTTCTATTTTGCTGCTTTGGACTTTTTAGAGATTCTATTTCCCTCTATTTCAATATTTTTAATTATAAAAGATAAGCTAAATTTATGAAAAGATATGGTAATTTTTTCCCTTTGTGCATATATCATATAAAAAGCCATAAGGAACACAACAGTTATCGAATCATGAAAAATTGTAAGGACATTGTATAGAAGTAAGGGAACAGTTACAAAATAGCAATGTATATGGAAGGACACACATGAAAGGGCACGGACACATTTGTATCACAAGTGCATGGGCTACAGATGCAGCTGCCGGAAAAGAAATGTAATGTCATGGACATAGTTATTACTGAAGGGGAACACCTGTTATTGTAATTGCAGACATTATTGCAGGGTCACGGATATAATTGACACAAAAGTTACTGCCATGACATATATGTTACGACAGTGACATAGTTGTAACTGTAGTTTATTTATAACTTAATTTATAACTGATACGGCACAGATGTACCTACAAGAGCACAATTGTGACTACAAAGTCAGAAAACAAAATTAATGTAACTACAATGGCATAGCTGTATCGACAGGGGCAGGGGAATGATGTAATAGAAAGGTCAAACATGTAGTTGTAGGGTCACACATGTAACTACACAGGAACAAATGAAACGACAGGGCACAACACACGCTACTGTAGTAGAATTTTTCAGAGGCACGAAATGTATACTTTTTTAACACTTGATCTTTGAGTGTGACATTGGCATTGGGGAAAGCAAGCCAATCATTGCGCTCCGGACATCGTCTCATAATGGTGATCACTCTTGTCAAGCTATTTTAAAAATCAGTGGTTTCAAAGTTATGGAGCGGACACAGAAGTGTTAGGGACGGAAAGACGGACGAAATGAAAGACAACCCACTTTGCTGAAGGAGATTAATGTTTTAAACCTTTAATTTATCACTTAGTCATAAAGGGGACATGAAAAAATAATGTTTTGACATTAGACCTTTGACCTTTAAGTGTGACATTGACCTTGAGGGTAGTGACTTGGTTGTTGTGTTCTGCACATACTGTCATAACGGCCATTATTTCTGCCAAGTTATCTTAAAAACATTGCAGCGGTATAAATGTTATGGGTTAGGCATGACATTTACACTTTTTAACACTTGACCTTTACATGTGACTTTGACCTTGGGGGTAGGAACAAAATGATTCCGCTGTGCACATCGTCATAACATAGTGATAAAATTATGCCAAGTTATTCTCAATATTTTTTTTTTCAGGTTCGAGAGCGGACATGAAATGTAGACTTTTAACATTTGACCTTCAAGTGTGACATTGACATTATGGGATAGCAACCAAATTATTAAACTATGCACATCATCTCATAATGGTGACCACTTGTTTTTCGTCATTTCAATTATTTTCAGTCGTTTAAAAGTTATTGAGCAGGAACGAAATGTAGACTTTTCAATACTTGACCTTCAAGTGTGACATTGA